TGACTGCCAGTCATACCCACCCTACCAGTGCTTACTCTTCGGAAATATCCCATCAGCCTGTATACCCTTAACCTACTGTTTCACTCCAAGCATCTATAGAGATAAAAGCCGCAAGAAGACCAGTAGCCTTGCGGCACTCTGCCGCCTTCCAATCAATCCGATCGGTAAGTTGTCAATATAAATCTAGAAATCTTCAAACAGGGCCAGTGGAAGTGAGTAAAAGAGGAATGAAAAGCAAATATAGTTGTTTCTGGTGATGTGTAGGAGAGGAGGATCTAATTGCAGATACTGAGGTCGTAGACATCGGGTTGCTACCAGCGAATGTTTGCGGTAAGCCACTGGAGCCCAAGCACTTATCCAGCGGTCGTTTGAGGGAGTCAGGTAACGTAGTTCCGACTACTTCCCTCGGCACAGAGCTCTGTAGAGCACATGCTTCGTGGGAAAACGTTATGCTTCACTCCCATCTTTGACCTACGTTTGGGTGCGTGTGTAGAGCTTTCGTGAGTATATCAGCTTTGGACTGATAATGTTGACGTTTTGGAGTGATCCACTTGGTGAATAATCCTGCAGGCGCTTATTAAGTCGCCTCTCTTCTCTCGATAGACCAGTGTGAGTAAGCTGAGTTACCCAAACTGTTGCGCGCACGTTTTGCTAGTTAGTCCGACAACCATGTTTATAGCCTTTCTTTATACCTTCTCGAGAGTACTAGGGTCTCCCTTTCGTAGAAATGGGGAGCTATCGTGTTGAACAACTGTAGGTACAGTCTAACATGGGCTTCAAATACCATAAGCAATAATTCCAGGGTAAGCACCCCAGGTGCTTATGATGGCGTTCACCTCTCCTTCCAAAATTCCTATAGTTGGTGCTAATACCAAGTTAATTAGCGATCCTTTTCTATAGATACCCTGGTGATTGCGTATTCGTTAAGGGTTCAGCAGGTTTCCCTCGCTTCCGGCGTGCGATGTTGCATCACTTCTACTTCTCCAGGTTGAAGCTGAAAACATTCGCAGCTGTTCAGGACTTCAGGTGCAGCGGATCACTACGGAGAATCCTGGGATCTTCCCCTCTACTTATTGTCCCCTATTCTTAGATATCGCTGTTAAACAGGTGGATAGACGAGGAAATTAAGCAGGCAGGTAATTGGTGAATATTAAAACTAGGAGTATGGCAAGGAACACTCCCTGGGAAACACATATTCTTGCACTCCTCCATACTGATCGAATTCTGCTTATTTCAGCACATGATTCTCCGTCTTCCAGGCATGCTGTAAACCATGCTCTGAGTGGTTCAGTGATGCCCATTTTTGCAAGTCTGCCGAGCACAATGTGGTGTGAGACGCATCGAAAGCCCTGACCAAATCCAGATATGTAACGCGAACATACGGCTTGTCGTCCTATCTACTGGTCCAGTCAGCCCAGCCGATCACCAAGTTCGTAGCACGCGACCGTCTGGTTCTGAGGCCGCATTGGGCCGGATGGGCGGTGTTGCTTCCCCTTACGTAGTCTCGAAGAGCACCTACAACCACGCCTTCCAGCACCTTGGACATCATGAGAAGTAGTGCTATCGGCCTGTGGTTGCCTGAGTTTTTGGCCTTTTCACACGAAGACTGGTGAAAAGATAGCACACCTCTATTCGTTTGGGATCTGACTTACTTCCAACGAGTTCATTAACAGGTCGTGCATGGTTATGCTAAACACCTCTTCACGATTCCTTGGAACCACCGGTCTTATATGGTCGCAGCCCATAGATTTCCCTATTCTCAGAATTTAAATTTGGCAAACATTTGGTTTGTGAGAACTTTACTTTCACCAGCTTGTAATTGCTGACCTGCAACCTCCTTAGATTACTGGATGTCTGTGGTGAATGCATCACTGTAGTGAGCTCCTCGTCAAATCGGCTCCTCAACGGTTCCGCTCACTCATTGCTATTCAGTGGTCTTACGTTTGGCCCTGTGATGAAGCTTGCACCTTATTCGCCGCTTTGCGTTGTGAAGTAAACATGTATAGGCCTTTGGGCCGGGTTAGTTAGCTTTTTGCAGATAGGAACGTCCGATTCTTCGCAGAATTACACGACTTAAAACATGCCCCGTTTTTCCTCTGTTTTTTCTTTTGGCAGTGCGAGTAACCGACTGGCATGTGAGGGCTGGTCATCTAGTCAACTTTGGAACACACGTTTTGATAGCGCACCACATAATATCTTTGACATGTATCCAGTGTTCGACTATCACTTGAAATGCAATCCTGGCAGCCATAACTCTAGGAGTTCACCATTCATGAGCTCTTAGTCTGCCTTTCAGTAACAGCGGAACCTTTCAACTATTTACAGTTCCTTCTTGGTCATCAAGATAAATGTTATCATTGGGTGATCGCTTTTGTCAAGGAGGGTTGGACAAACATCTCACACCAAATGATCCCTGTCTGTTAGAAGGTGGTCAGGCCATGACCATTTTCCATCCTGTCTCCACCTGGTGTTCTTTCCCACCTCCCCTAGTAACCTTGCTGCCATGAATGCGTTTCTGTCTCGGCTGGTGTCCACGGCTTACTACACGTCCCGGGTTATCTGCCGATGTGTTAAAGTCTGCAGGTGACGACGACGTGGTCAAAGGATGCTTAGGTGGATGTCAAGATTGCAATGAGATATCTCCCCTAAACGCTCTGTTCTGTATACAGAAGGCTTGTATGTCACTCCTAGAGGTGCTTTATTTGGTTTATGGTGAAATGGCGTCACAAAGGTATCTGATAATTGGTTAAGCACACAGTAGATCTCCTTCTTGATCTTCAAGCGCCTGCCAATGTGCATGGTAACTCCTCCTCTTTCTTTGAACCGCCTCTTCTTTCGGAATAAGGTCATGCTAGGTACAGATGTTTTGTGGTCCTGGAGGTTTACGAGTGACAAATTTATGTAATCAAAACTATGGCTGCCTGCAGGTGAGAACTCATCGTTCTTACCCCTAGCAGTTTACCTCCAAGATCACCTGCGTCGCTATAAAAGCCTACCAGGAAGCCATGTTGTGAGCATGGCGCGGCACGTGAACTCGTGTAGAGGTTGTTGTTGCGGAGGGTGCTGACAGTCTATTTCAACGGGACTGCCAGGCCTCCTGGGTCTCCCTGGTGTTCCGGTGTTGGTACAACTGAAGGTTCTCCGCTACGTCCGCAGGTGTCACTTCTTGCACAAGCGTGATAGTTAGTATTCTTCTTGGAGGTTACCACTTACATTCCGGCCCAGCGGACCATGGTTTATCTTCACATCATCGCACGGCAACTCCCACTCATCTTTTACGTGATACAGTGCTTTATGAGCTTCTACGAGTGACGCCTTGATGGCGGAAAGTGCAGCCAGCAACCCGAGTAAGGAGATGCTCCGTGAGTGAGCAAGTCTTGGTGATCTATCCGTGCAGCTGGTGGGCAAGAGTTGTAGTCTCATTTCCCCCGCCAGCTATTTACACTGCTCGAGATGTTGGAGGTAATGGATCCTCCCTTCAGTTCAGGCATTCCATGCATCACCATAGTTGTAGCTTTGCGCAGGCCAATAGGGGTGGACTTCCGCTCCCCCTCTATGGTGACCCATAACTTACCTGAGCTCACCCTTATAAAGCAGGGGCCTGAGATGTCCGGTTCACACGATGGCAGAAGTGCGTCCCTCTGTAGTTTTGCAGTCATCGTTGGCAGTCTGCGAGGTGGCATCTTAACTCGAGGTGCTCTTTTCCCCCAGGAGAGCGGGCATAAGCTCACTGCAGTGGGTCGTCTTCACAGCTTTTTGCAGTGATCATCCTATTTTTCCTTGTCATATTGCTTTCTTTTTCCTAGAAGTGAGTCTGTCGGTGTGGAAACAGTGAACAGCATGATGGAGTCCGTTCTTTTCACTCGCGAGCGCAGATAACTGGATTTCGCTGCCAACGTTTTTGGTCTACTCTTTCTACTCACCGGTTTGTCCTCAATACAACCCGTTTCTTCAGGTCACTTAATTTCGCTGGATAGTGTTAACTGTTTTAACACAAGAAGTGAGGACTTCGTTGATGCTTCATGTGATGGGAGAACTGGTAGTTTCGTATGCTTAGGGGTGCACTTTTGGCCTGTATGTACACGGAGCTTGCCGTGGGTGGATTTAGGGAACGCGTTTCTTGCGTCTTTTAGTTTGACGGTGGTAATAAAGAGTGATTTCTGACATTATGGACGGATTCATCACATGCACTTTTATGAATAGCTTATCATGAAGCTTTAGTACTGACCCGGTCACACTTGTCACAGTGATGGTGCACCCATATCAAGCAAAGGTTTCATGCAGAGGCTTCTTGAGCCTCCAATACTGATGCAATGTGGGTTACTTAGTCGTGTGAGATCCACTCTTTGTTAACAGTCGTATGATCTGCTGTTCGTTAATTCAGGTCAACTAAAGAGTGTAACGGCATAATCGCTTGTCAGCAACCTCTTTTTTCCGCCCTTTGTTTTCTACCAACGGAGTGTTTGGAGACGCATTAATATCACTCTGACTAAAAGGGTTTGCAGGTCTGCTGGTGAGTTTACAGGCGAATGATGGTTGAAAGCTGTTCTTCCTGATAAACACCCTATTAACGTGAGGACTTTGAAGGATTTGCAATCACGCAGCGGATACCAAGAGAAAGACTGTGACTGAACTTTTCTTTGTCACACCACCTATACTTTCTCTGTCTTGAACCCCCAGTCTATACTACCAGCACAAATAGACACCTTGTAACGCACCATTTAAAAATGGCGTTTGCACCGTATTTTCAAGAGAAACTGAATCGCTTGCAGTTTAAAAACCACAGAAAGGCGAATCATGGATTCTAAATGCAGATGTTGGTCAGGGGATTACTTCTTCTGTTCTTTCAGTAGGAATTTGGTTCATTAGAATCCACCAAAGACCTGGAACCGTTCCTCAGGACCTAGAAGCGAGCGCGAAGAAGTCAATTGGTTTACACTAGCTCGTTAAAAGATATTGGATATTGGATCCAGACGTTTCTGAAAACTCCGCGCGCTGTTCAACGATTGCGTTATCAACCGGCATGCGATGAAGGATAATACATTTCGTGTATGTTTAGAATATACCTAAGTCGAGATTTAGTTTTTAAGATACAGGGATGAGATAAAGCAAAAGGTTGTTGTGTCATTCAAAAACAGTTGTCCCGACAATGATGTGAGTTACTACAAAACGTTGTAATTTTTGTAGGAGAGTTTAGACAGCTACTTTGCAGCAGCTGTGGAGAAATGGACCGATAGCAGTGCAAGCGAACAGTTCGGTAGGTTTTGAACGGTACGTCTTACTTTTCAGCTGCTTTTCGAACGAGGGTTGCTCCTTATATTTTGAGCTTGAAGTTAATAATTTTTCATCAAGTAAGTAGTTTGAGTGCTTTATTTTGGCTAGGATTTTCTATGTCGAGAGCTGAAAGTTCTTTGGGAGCAGCTAAATGATAACTGTTTAGCACCTGTTTTAGAGTGAGTTTGTGATATGTGACAACAATTTTGTAGTCTGGTAGCGAATTTGGCATGTGATATTAGAGAAGACTTTTTTAGTCACATCGATGAATTCTTACCTCTTATTGTCGGTGCAATTATAAGGAACGCTAAAGATGCAGAGTTACTTGGTCACTGTTTCACTTGTGTGACCCATCTCGTGTACTTCCTACATCGTCCAATGCTTAAAAACATCGAAAAAGTCCTCAAGTAGTAATATTTTTCAACTTTTGTATAAATGCAGGTTTTTTTTACCGTTGCTTTCTCATGGCTCGTCCCTTGTCCCACAGTTTACAGCTGAGTGTTTAGCTTTCTTGTTCAGAAAGTTTGAAGACAAACACCGTTTATTGCGTATTCTGGAAAACGTGATTGAAAATGCTGAGGTTGGATCAAACAATAACGAGTTTCTTATTCATAGTGTCTTGGAATCATTCTATCAGAAATGTTGCTGGGCGCTGGCGGAAAAGTCCACACAACTTCTTTGGAGGTAATATCTTGGAATTTCTTTTAGTGTTTAGAATCTCCCTTTTTTATTCGATACTTTGTTTGAATTAAGATGTGAGGATAAGAAAACCAAAAACGTTGTCTCCGACGAACAAGAGAAGAAAGAGGATTTTGCAGCTATGGACTATGATACCAAACAAATTGGTTTTTTTGTAGACGTTCCATTTCCAAAGTTTGTAGTGGCTGTTAGTCACTCTTTGTCACAACTAGTGGAAAGAAGTCCTTCATCTGAACAGATTGGCTACGTGATTCATCATTTAACCATATTGTTCCGTCATTTGTTGAATATCCACAGTGCTCAGTACTTCCGCGAATATCTTTTACTACTAACCGGTTTTCTTATGTCACTGACGAAGTCTGATTTTATGCCTTTGTTTGAAGAGGATATTGGCAAGGTATGTTTATCCCTTTTATCTCTTGCATTTGCCCTTTTTTTATTTCTTATATTGAAACTTCATATGGCACCTCGCTTCGTAAGACCTCAGTTGTTTTTAGCTTAAATACTTAAGCTTTTGACTTTCTACCATTCAGCTAGTTTCAAATCCGACTACATCTGCTGATATTCGAGTGGCCATTTTTAACTAGTAACTTTTACATACGTGTTCATTACCGTGTTCTGAAAACTGTACAGCACCTTACTAAAAGGTAAGCCTTCCAAAGGTTACCGTAGCAGGTGATTTCAACGCACAAGTGTGCAGACAGTCAGGCAGAAAAGCACTTAATTGTCACTTTCGAAACGCCAACTGAAGCACCAGATAGTGGTGATTGCCTGCTACAGCTGTACTTAGACAACCTTCCGTTTTTGACCAACACGAACTTCAGATGGAGAGAGATACTGTCTGATGCGGCATTAATCGACCTCAAGTCAACGTTGAACACTATCAGGCATTGTTCAACACGGTCAGTGAAAGTTTTTGTTCCCTCTGAAGCACATTTGTGCAGTGATCACGCATTGATTGGAGGACGGGTATGCATGTGGCGAAAGGAACGGGAAACAATTACTACAAAAATGCTTGCGAGTACTTCCTAACGATGAAAAAACATCGGTTGCTTTCAGCAACAAATTCGTCAAATAGTTATCGAAACGGAGCAACCTCGCTCATCTAGAAGCCTGGGACTATCTTCAGTTTGCTATAAGAACAGCCTTAAAGACCTTCACTTTTCATCAGAATAAGGATGGAAAGAGTCAGTTAATCTCAGCAGTTACTGAATTAATGTATTCGTGTGAATGCATTCCTGCTGGCTACCGAGTGTATTGGGGTTCAAAAGCAGCTGATTTGTAGACAGTTTACGCAGTGACAGCAAGCAGTGGTGGGTGGCAAAAACTAAAGAGATAGGAAGTAACAATTCTACTAGACTCCAGCTATTACTCCACTGCCCTCTCTCCAGTCAGATCCTGAATGCAACATTTGAGATAGGTACCGCTAACACTTGAGTAAGTCGAGAAAGCTGTAAGCAACATGAAATGAAGAAGAACACCAGGGCCATAGAGACTAGTACCAGAGGTATTTAAAGACGATGATAGAGGATTATTGGTTAGGTTAGTTTTTGTGTTAACCAGTGGTTAACCAGGAGTTAGATATGATCCCCTTTGACTGTTCTCAATCACTGATTGCTTCAGTCTTTAAGAAAGGTGAGAAATCGCTCGTGATGACCGCAGGAGAATCAACCTGACGAATATGGTCTAAGATTCTAAGTTCTGTGATCATAAGACATCTAAGTAATGCTCAGAAATAGTAGATCCCGGGGGACAAGGGAGGTTTTGAACTTAACCTTGGGTTCATCGACTATATAGGCACTCTGCTAGGTTCTGGAACACAGACAGCGACAGCCGACACTAGCTTTATTTTTTCTCAGTAGGATGAAATACCGCAGCATATCTGAAGATACCGCTTTTTCGGGGAGGAATTTCCTACAATTCACCTTTTATAATTAAATATTTGTTATTCTGAAGCATAAAGTGAGCATTTTTAAGATAATTCATCACCGTTTTTTGTCTTATCAGTATCTAAATGACCTATCCAATATGGTAGGACCTTGGGGGGAACAAGCATTGCACTAGTACACCTATAATCAATGTGATATGCAAACCTAACCATCATATCAATGTAGCAGCTGTCGCTCGTGCACACACTATATGTTCTGTATCTTCACATCCTTTGACTAGTTCCTGTTTCTGATATAGGAATTTAACTGGCAGGCAGTTCGTGTAAATAAAACACTTTCTTATTGTTTGTACCTATGTATTGTGATGCAGCCTTTTCTTTTCTCTTTCAGATTCTTACAATGTTGATAGACCATTATTCGTCACCACATGTAGTCAACCTGTGCTGTATTTTCTTGCATTCTGTGTCGGGAAGATATAATCCATTTGACTTTATGAGATCAGTACGTCTCTTTTGTTTACTTATCAACAAAATTTAGGTCATTCAGAGTAAAACTCAGGACTTGAGTAGCAAATTCGAATTCCTAAGGAGTTTGACAGATTGGCAATACTTTGACAGAGTAAGTTCACTAGGAAAAGATCTTTCTATATATATATATATATATATATATATATATATATATATATATATATATATATATATATATATATATATATATATATATATATATATATATTCTAAATTAGTCTTAAAAATATTCTCACAATTCGGTAAGGTATATATCCTTAACTTTTTAAAACCCTCCTAGTAGTCTTGTAAACTTAAAGATCAAAATTTGATCTGATAGAGTTGAATAAGTTGAGCATTGGGTAGTCACCTTTTATTTTAAAACACACTCAGTACAACAAAGGTATCAAAAAACTTACCACGCAGTGTAACATAACTCTCTAAGGTCAAAATTAGAGCACGGTAAGAAGGAAAGAAAAGGAAACTGGCAGTCAATTGAATTGGGTATGGTAACATACAAATAAAGGATACAAGAATACTGCGAAATGACCACCTGTAAATTTTTTCGAAGCCATGTATGCTGTTGTCTCAGGACTTCACAGACCTCACTCTGGAAGTCTCAGGGCACCAACGTCTACTAAGTCATAAGTTGTCCTCCACTGCACATCTCTGCGTCATTCACACACTACTTCAGTTTTTTCATCTAATCACAATTATGGCAAACAATATACTGTGAAGACATGATGTTCGTAGCACATGACTTAACCCCGCAGTTAGTGCTTCCGGATTGCGTCATTCGTTGGACGACGATTTCAATAACTCCCAAACTTATGCTACCATAGACCAGAATTACTTAAAAGGTAATCCCATTGAGTGGTAACAATTCAGAGGACATAATGATCTGACAACTTATGAGCAAGGTTCTACCTTGATTTTGTTTATGTCTCTAAGTGGTTTAGTACAGTTATCGAATATATTAATAACTAAATTAGAAAAGAGTGGCGAAATACGGCTGTCCAACTATTGGATTAGAATATTAGACAGATGTTGCTGTATACACACTCTACCTTAGGTGTTAAAGTGAATCAAAACTCAGCAACCACATGTACACTAACGCAATCGAAAAAGAACCACACTTATTCACCTTAAACACCTAGCCCGTAAACTTACAGTATGAAAGGAATCCAGCTCGCTCATCGTCGACCAGTATTTCAAAACCTCAAAGATATACATAGTGGAAAGTAGATAGTTCCGTAATATATAAAGAAACCATATTAGAACAGCATTTCCCTTACATTTCAAAATTATATCTCAGTAAAGAAGTCATCAATTATCAATCACCGCTCATGAAACCAACATATTTAATTTCATTCAGTACAATCAGAACTACAAAAGCCTCCAAAAATCATCTATTCTACATATACACAATCCTAATTAAGTATCACAAAATAAGCGCAGATGCAACACCGGTTACTGACTGCCTAAGTGTACATAATGAAGCTTATAACTGTGATCACTTCCGCCCTTTCTTAAGGACATTTGTGTGCTCCAACGTTTGAGAGTGGTGATAATTCTTCCTATGCGTGTTTGTACGCAGTTGACGGTATCATGAGGTACTCGGGATGTTTGATGTGTTGTTGTGTGTAAGCGAGTGAGTTATTTGTTAGTTGTGTGTAGTTGTGAGTAGAGGGGGATTGATGATAGTGGGTGGTATTGTGTTGTGTGTTGCATAAGGTGAACGTGTTATTTCGGAATGTTATTAGTCTGAATGGTTGTATTTGTGGTAGTGGTAGTAGTAGCGGTTCCTGTTGTTGTTTGTATTTGATGTTGAGATGCTGAGTATGTTGTTGATGTTGGTTGTGTGTGTGTGTGTGTGAAAGCACCAGAGTCAGCTGCATTGTTTCACGTATTTGTGCATGCAGTGTTAGCTGTGTGCGAGATGGATATGCAATGGCGAAGTGGAGTAACTCTCCGAAGTGCCAGTGCGACATTTGTTGTGAACACTGCATTATGCATATGTGTTATGTTTGTGTGTGTGTGTGTGTGTGTGTGTTTGGTATTGTTGCGCGTTGTTTGTGAATTTGTGTATGTTTTGCGTTGTGTGTGGTGATTGATGTGTTTTTTGCATTGATTTGAGTGTGTGGAGTGTATTGTTGATGAGTGGTGATATTTGTGTGTAGTTGATGGTGTGTTGATGTGGTCGTGGTGTTTGACGTGTTGTTGTGTGTAAGTAAGCGAGTGAGTTATTTGTTAGTTGTGTGTAGTTGTGAGTAGAGGGGGATTGATGATAGTGGGTGGTATTGTGTTATGTTGTGTTGTGTTGTGTTGTGTGTGATGTGTTTGTGTGTTGTGTAAGGTGAAGGTGTTATTTGGGAATGTTGTTTTTGTGAATGGTTGTATTTGTGGTAGAGTGGTAGTAGTAGTGGTTGGTGTTGTTGTTGTTGTTGTTGGTTGTGGTTGTGGTTGCGTGATTTGGAGTGTTTGTTGGTTGTGTAATTGTGCCTACAACGTGCTGATCACACGTGGTGTTGATCTGGTGAGTGGGCGGACAGTGATGGGCCTTGACTGATCTGCATATGTCGTATTGCTACGAGCATGTGTGTGAACCGTCTTGGTACATGGTGGTGCTTGTTCAGATGTTGGTGTGAGTTGACTTTCAGTTGGTATGTGTGAATGTGTGTGTGTGTGTGTGTGTGTGCATTTGAGGATGTGGTTGTGTTTGTTAGGCGATGTGTACGAGGGTTGTGTTGTTGTGTTGTTGTTGTTTGTATTTGATGTTGAGATGCTGAGTATGTTGTTGATGTTGGTTGTGTGTGTGTGTGTGTGAAAGCACCAGAGTCAGCTGCATTGTTTCACGTATTTGTGCATGCAGTGTTAGCTGTGTGCGAGATGGATATGCAATGGCGAAGTGGAGTAACTCTCCGAAGTGCCAGTGCGACATGTGTTGTGAACACTGCATTATGCATATGTGTTATGTTTGTGTGTGTGTGTGTGTGTGTTTGGTATTGTTGCGCGTTGTTTGTGAATTTGTGTATGTTTTGCATTGTGTGTGGTGATTGATGTGTTTTTTGCATTGATTTGAGTGTGTGGTGTGTATTGTTGATGAGTGGTGATATTTGTGTGTAGTTGATGGTGTGTTGATGTGGTCGTGGTGTTTGACGTGTTGTTGTGTGTAAGTAAGCGAGTGAGTTATTTGTTAGTTGTGTGTAGTTGTGAGTAGAGGGGGATTGATGATAGTGGGTGGTATTGTGTTATGTTGTGTTGTGTTGTGTTGTGTGTGATGTGTTTGTGTGTTGTGTAAGGTGAAGGTGTTATTTGGGAATGTTGTTCTTGTGAATGGTTGTATTTGTGGTAGAGTGGTAGTAGTAGTGGTTGGTGTTGTTGTTGTTGTGGTTGGTGGTGTTGTGGTTGTGGTTGTGGTTGCGTGATTTGGAGTGTTTGTTGGTTGTGTGATTGTGCCTACAACGTGCTGATCACACGTGGTGTTGATCTGGTGAGTGGGCGGACAGTGATGGGCCTTGACTGATCTGCATATGTCGTATTGCTACGAGCATGTGTGTGAACCGTCTTGGTACATGGTGGTGCTTGTTCAGATGTTGGTGTGAGTTGACTTTCAGTTGGTATGTGTGAATGTGTGTGTGTGTGTGTGTGTGCATTTGAGGATGTGGTTGTGTTTGTTAGTCAGTGTGTAAGAGAGTTGTTGTGTTGTGTTGTTGTTGTTTGTATTTGATGGTGAGATGCTGAGTATGTTGTTGATGTTGGTTGTGTGTGTGTGTGTGTGAAAGCACCAGAGTCAGCTGCATTGTTTCACGTATTTGTGCATGCAGTGTTAGCTGTGTGCGAGATGGATATGCAATGGCGAAGTGGAGTAACTCTCCGAAGTGCCAGTGCGACATGTGTTGTGAACACTGCATTATGCATATGTGTTATGTTTGTGTGTGTGTGTGTGTGTGTTTGGTATTGTTGCGCGTTGTTTGTGAATTTGTGTATGTTTTGCATTGTGTGTGGTGATTGATGTGTTTTTTGCATTGATTTGAGTGTGTGGTGTGTATTGTTGATGAGTGGTGATATTTGTGTGTAGTTGATGGTGTGTTGATGTGGTCGTGGTGTTTGACGTGTTGTTGTGTGTAAGTAAGCGAGTGAGTTATTTGTTAGTTGTGTGTAGTTGTGAGTAGAGGGGGATTGATGATAGTGGGTGGTATTGTGTTATGTTGTGTTGTGTTGTGTTGTGTGTGATGTGTTTGTGTGTTGTGTAAGGTGAAGGTGTTATTTGGGAATGTTGTTCTTGTGAATGGTTGTATTTGTGGTAGTGGTAGTAGTAGTAGTAGTAGTGGTTGTTGTTGTTGTGGTTGTGGTTGTGGTTGCGTGATTTGGAGTGTTTGTTGGTTGTGTAATTGTGCCTACAACGTGCTGATCACACGTGGTGTTGATCTGGTGAGTGGGCGGACAGTGATGGGCCTTGACTGATCTGCATATGTCGTATTGCTACGAGCATGTGTGTGAACCGTCTTGGTACATGGTGGTGCTTGTTCAGATGTTGGTGTGAGTTGACTTTCAGTTGGTATGTGTGAATGTGTGTGTGTGTGTGTGTGTGTGCATTTGAGGATGTGGTTGTGTTTGTTAGGCGATGTGTACGAGGGTTGTGGTGTTGTGTTGATGTTGTTGTTGTTGTTTGTATTTGATGTTGAGATGCTGAGTATGTTGTTGATGTTGGTTGTGTGTGTGTGTGTGTGAAAGCACCAGAGTCAGCTGCATTGTTTCACGTATTTGTGCATGCAGTGTTAGCTGTGTGCGAGATGGATATGCAATGGCGAAGTGGAGTAACTCTCCGAAGTGCCAGTGCGACATGTGTTGTGAACACTGCATTATGCATATGTGTTATGTTTGTGTGTGTGTGTGTGTGTTTGGTATTGTTGCGCGTTGTTTGTGAATTTGTGTATGTTTTGCGTTGTGTGTGGTGATTGATGTGTTTTTTGCATTGATTTGAGTGTGTGGAGTGTATTGTTGATGAGTGGTGATATTTGTGTGTAGTTGATGGTGTGTTGATGTGGTCGTGGTGTTTGACGTGTTGTTGTGTGTAAGTAAGCGAGTGAGTTATTTGTTAGTTGTGTGTAGTTGTGAGTAGAGGGGGATTGATGATAGTGGGTGGTATTGTGTTATGTTGTGTTGTGTTGTGTTGTGTGTGATGTGTTTGTGTGTTGTGTAAGGTGAAGGTGTTATTTGGGAATGTTGTTTTTGTGAATGGTTGTATTTGTGGTAGTGGTAGTAGTAGTAGTTGGTGTTGTTGTTGTTGTTGTGGTTGTGGTTGTGGTTGCGTGATTTGGAGTGTTTGTTGGTTGTGTAATTGTGCCTACAACGTGCTGATCACACGTGGTGTTGATCTGGTGAGTGGGCGGACAGTGATGGGCCTTGACTGATCTGCATATGTCGTATTGCTACGAGCATGTGTGTGAACCGTCTTGGTACATGGTGGTGCTTGTTCAGATGTTGGTGTGAGTTGACTTTCAGTTGGTATGTGTGAATGTGTGTGTGTGTGTGTGTGTGCATTTGAGGATGTGGTTGTGTTTGTTAGGCGATGTGTACGAGGGTTGTGTTGTTGTGTTGTTGTTGTTTGTATTTGATGTTGAGATGCTGAGTATGTTGTTGATGTTGGTTGTGTGTGTGTGTGTGTGAAAGCACCAGAGTCAGCTGCATTGTTTCACGTATTTGTGCATGCAGTGTTAGCTGTGTGCGAGATGGATATGCAATGGCGAAGTGGAGTAACTCTCCGAAGTGCCAGTGCGACATTTGTTGTGAACACTGCATTATGCATATGTGTTATGTTTGTGTGTGTGTGTGTGTGTTTGGTATTGTTGCGCGTTGTTTGTGAATTTGTGTATGTTTTGCGTTGTGTGTGGTGATTGATGTGTTTTTTGCATTGATTTGAGTGTGTGGAGTGTATTGTTGATGAGTGGTGATATTTGTGTGTAGTTGATGGTGTGTTGATGTGGTCGTGGTGTTTGACGTGTTGTTGTGTGTAAGTAAGCGAGTGAGTTATTTGTTAGTTGTGTGTAGTTGTGAGTAGAGGGGGATTGATGATAGTGGGTGGTATTGTGTTATGTTGTGTTGTGTTGTGTTGTGTGTGATGTGTTTGTGTGTTGTGTAAGGTGAAGGTGTTATTTGGGAATGTTGTTCTTGTGAATGGTTGTATTTGTGGTAGAGTGGTAGTAGTAGTAGTGGTTGGTGTTGTTGTTGTTGTTGTGGTTGTGGTTGTGGTTGCGTGATTTTGAGTGTTTGTTGGTTGTGTAATTGTGCCTACAACGTGCTGATCACACGTGGTGTTGATCTGGTGAGTGGGCGGACAGTGATGGGCCTTGACTGATCTGCATATGTCGTATTGCTACGAGCATGTGTGTGAACCGTCTTGGTACATGGTGGTGCTTGTTCAGATGTTGGTGTGAGTTGACTTTCAGTTGGTATGTGTGAATGTGTGTGTGTGTGTGTGTGCATTTGAGGATGTGGTTGTGTTTGTTAGGCGATGTGTACGAGGGTTGTGTTGTTGTGTTGTTGTTGTTTGTATTTGATGTTGAGATGCTGAGTATGTTGTTGATGTTGGTTGTGTGTGTGTGTGTGAAAGCACCAGAGTCAGCTGCATTGTTTCACGTATTTGTGCATGCAGTGTTAGCTGTGTGCGAGATGGATATGCAATGGCGAAGTGGAGTAACTCTCCGAAGTGCCAGTGCGACATGTGTTGTGAACACTGCATTATGCATATGTGTTATGTTTGTGTGTGTGTGTGTGTGTTTGGTATTGTTGCGCGTTGTTTGTGAATTTGTGTATGTTTTGCGTTGTGTGTGGTGATTGATGTGTTTTTTGCATTGATTTGAGTGTGTGGAGTGTATTGTTGATGAGTGGTGATATTTGTGTGTAGTTGATGGTGTGTTGATGTGG